CCGTGAGAAACGTCTTCGCCAAGGCTAGGGACGATGCCGCCTCAAAGAAGCTGTGGGAGATCAGCGAGAGGTTCTGTGGCATCTAAAGTGCGTTTTATTGCTCTTTAATGTTGTTCAAATAAAATCTATTATTTCGTAAAGAGTATAAATATGCTGTTATCAACCTGCTCCTTGTAAGATATCTTGTTGGTCTCAATGTTTAATTTACAATTCTTGGGGCCTATCATGCTGGCAAATCACAGAATTCACTCTTTTGTATAAGAGCAAAGTTGAACGCCTGAGTTTGTTAGAACATGGATACATAAGAGAACATCAACGAAAATGGGTCCACCCATTTTCAACAAAGAAAATGGGTGGACCCATTTTCTTTGTTGAAAGAAAATGGGTCAAAGTTTACACAGCAATTTAAGCAGCTAAAGGGAGACAAGTATGAAATTAATTTAAATCTGTCACATTTTGCAACTATTATCTGCACATGTGCACACTGCTGAATGAGCCTTGTATTGTTAAGAGAACATATAGAAAACATACTTTTTCTATAGGGACTTCTGACCTTGGAAGAGTAGAGATAAATGCTTTGGATCAACCTGGAGTTAGATTTGTTTCACAATTATTCAATCAAAAAAATAATAAATAAATAAATAAATCATGTCAAACAAAAAAATTAGTATTCAATCAAAAAAAAAAAAAATTCAAACAAATAAAATCTTAACTTTTTGAGGGTGACTAAAATTAAATCTGTTATGAAAAAACTGTTCAGTTAATGCCACTCGACAGAGGTGCGCTGGTTAACGAATATTACACAAGCCTAGTTTATGAACTTTACCTAGTGCTAACATTAGCTAGCACAATATGCTACCGGGGATCACGGCAGACAAAATATGTGACTGTCGTCATAAGTTGAGTAAGATTTCTTCTTTGAAACAGGGTGGACACTTTAGAAGCTGCTAAACGGTGTAATTTTGTGAAGATTACTTACCATCACATTCTGTGTCCCGTCACCGAAGCCCTGCAGTTCGGGACGGAGTTCTGAGATCTCAGGGAGTCATCCGCTTTAGTCAGCGCTAACCAATCGGAACACGTCTTACATCGCTCGTCCTTAAGCCCCGCCCAGAATGTTCATGTAAGCTTCCCCAAAGCAAATAAAGTTGTATAAGCAAGAAAACGAGTTCAACCAAAAATAAAAAAGTTTCAATCAAAAAAGAGACTCAATCAAAAAAG